TTGTAATCTTCCTCTAGTCAAGTTCTGATTATCAAGCCATTGAGTCTCGGTCAGATGGGTACTGTCTGCAAGTTTGGGTGTTCTTGTGCACCTCCTATCACTCCATATCAGTTGGATGCTTCACTCTCAGCTTTAGCCCTCTGTGGCTTTGTCCTTGTCCATGGGCTCAGGTGTCCCCAGGTCTTACCACACTTTGGACCAACCAACCTTTTTCTTCTCTCTTTCATCTCCAGGTCATTGGGAGTCTGTGGAACATGGTTGAACTCAGCCCATTTCTTCATTGCTGCCTTTGCCCCTCTTCCACTCACCGGTAGACCAATGTGGTTGTCAGCTAGCTTACATGCCTGTTCCTGTGTTCCCTTTGAGTTCCAGTCTTAGAGGAGGATTTGTCCTAAAGGAACTTGATTGCTTGCCTTGATGGCTATCAAGTGAACAACTTGCTTATTCTTTTAGCAGCCAGTCATACTGCCATTTTTATTTTGGGTTTTTCCTGATGATCTTTCTTTGAAGATATAACTGTTGTCACTCTAGCTGTTCCAGGCTGGTCTGCTTGTCCTTTCTCGTGGGACTGTCCCGCTTCTGAAGGTCTGGATGGAGCTTAGGATTCCACCTAAGGTCCTATACACTGCAAAGGCTCCACAGGAGGCCTATTTCACTGGGCTCCCTATTTACTCTTGATGAAATCTTTGGATACACATAAGTGTCTCATTTTTAGAAGGGCCCAGCTATGTATTTTGTCTTCTACTGTTTGTGTGCTTGCTTCTTGTAATGTTTGATAGTGATGTATGCCATGTTTTAAAGCCCCTAAGTTTGTCCCTATTTTTTCATTGATGATCTTTATAAGTTATAGGTTGCATTTAGGTCTTTAATATGTGTTGAGTTTGTTTTTGTATACGGTGTGAGATGTGGGACTTGTGTCATTCTTCTGCAAATGAATTTCCAGTTCTGCTAGCACAATTAGTTGAAGAGACTATAGATAAGTTCACTGTATGTTGAAGAATTTTCTTCTGGATTCTCAATTTCTTCTGTTCATTGATCTGTGTATGATTCATTGTACCAGTACCAGGCTGTTTTGACCACTGTGGCTTTGTGTTAAATTTTGAGATCAAGGATGAAAAGCCTCCAACTTTTTTCATTTTCTTAAACAGTGTTTTGTTTACCTGAAGACTGTTTCCCTTCCATATAAAGTTCGTGATCTTGTATTCCATCTCTTTAAAGAATGTTGTTGGAATCTGGATTGGGATTGCATTTAATTGCTTTGGATTGTGTAGACATTTTTGCAATGTTAAGTCGTCCTATCCATGAGCATGGTATATTCTTCCATTTTAGTAAGTCTCTTTTAGTTTCTTGTAGTAGTGTTTCGTGGTTTTCTTTGTATAGGTCTTTTGTTTCTCTGGTTAGATTTGTTCCCAAGTATTTCATCTTTTGGATGGTTGTTGTCAATAGTATTAGTTTCCTGATTGTCTTTTCAGAGCTGTTTTTATTAGTATACAGGAATCCAACTGATTTTTTTTTT